GTTCCAATTATGCACTTACTAACTTTTTCTGAAATTTGTATTTATTACAGTTGCTAAAGTAAATTTATATGCTGAATTAAATTACCATTAGTTTGTAATGTGGAATATTAGTTTAGTTATTTTGTAACAGTAGAGCTCGTAGTAAAAGAGACAGTCCAGGGAAGTACTGCCACCTTACCTATTTCTGCCGCCAAGCAGTAATGGGATCATTACTGCGGAAGGTCCGGAAAGTTTTGAAGGGTAAAGGTGCTGGTGAAATTACAGGCACATGGGACTTGTCAACTTATGCCTCAGGGTTACGGGCGCAGTGGCAGTGCCCCTAAGATCTTTGCGATTTAAAACTCTGAGTGGCACAGCAACTGTTATGGACAGGCGTGTAGCTTATCATCCGCCGCGTGACTTGTTCGTCCCATCATTTGATATTATAAAAAATATATATATGACGATGTGCAGGTGACCCTACATATGTACGTTTAGTAACTTTTATCAACTGTAGAGGTAAAAAATGAGATAAGAGTTAATAATAGACGGAAGCTTTGGTGTGAAAATCAAGAGACCGCACCTTAGGTGGTATAGTTTTATAATATATGCTTTACAAATCCAGGATGCGTTTTACAAAATGCTTTACAATTTGTACTAAACCTTCCAGTTATTTATTACAACTGGCAAAAATTATGTGGTCCTTCAGTCCACACACGTGTTAAAATCGTCCAACCCGAGTTGACCCGAGAGACGGGTATGTTTTGATATTAAGTGACGGGACGAACAAGGTTATGTGCCCTTGCACAGTAATGTTCACATTACTGCTTCGCGGCAGAAATAGGTAAGGTGGCCGTACTTCCGCAGACGAACTCTTTCACAAAGAGCTCTACTGCTACCAAATGTAATTGTCTGCTCTAAAGCGCTGAAAAAAATAATCCTGTATTATCTGGATATAGGGGCAAAGCATTCTGGGTGTAAAAGGAAAATTGTTGAGTCCCAATTGTACTAAATTAAGAATAAATAGGTTCTTATCTAGATATCTTTTAATAGCGCCTTGGGATTTAATTAAGTTACTCTGTTACTTGTGTTACTAAGAATTGTTTAAGGTCACTATATGATTGTCTTTTTTATAAAATAAAAAGCTCTGTTTACCAAACTATATGAAGACGTGCACACAAAACGACATCAAAAATTTAATTTTCATATTTTTAGAACAAGCTACTGTGCGTGCGCAGTTTCGTTAACATATTTATATAATCCACAATTGAATGATCTATATTGTTAAAATTTATGGTATCATGTTATCATTCTATTTTTATAAATTTGTTTTCAATGGTAGAAAAGTAGTAGATTTGTTATTAACATCGCTTGTATACGAGACGAACAAGGCCTGCGTCTGTTGGTAAGCAATATCAATAGTGGTAGTGCCACTCAGAGCTTGTAGTCACAAAGATCTGAATACTAACGCACACACTCAACATAGCTTCGCGCTAGGGGAAACCCTGTGTCGCGCGTACCATAGACACACACATCGACAACCACTAATTACACCCAAACTCACGAGAGAAATAAATGTAGGCCATACAAATATCTCTCCCGGCCCGGGAATCGAAACTGGGACCTCTGCGTGGCAGTCCGGCATGGTAACCGTTCGGCCACGGAGGCAGTTAAAAAAAAGGAGAATGGGGACTATCACTGCGCCCGTCAGCAAGAAACAAGTCCTATGTGCTTGTAATATTAAATTACCATTCAAAACCGGAACGCAGTAACGCACACATTATTTACTGCTTGGCAACAGAAACAAATAAGGTGGCTGTACTTCCCTGGACTAAGTCTTTCACAAAGAGCTCTACTGCTATTAGACAAAACAGCCGTTAATATTTTTTTTTTCACATGTCAACGAAAAGTGATCGTAAAATAGGCGATTCCTTACGTTATAAAAACAAATTATTGATTTTTTTCTGGTAGTAAATATTATATTAAATATAAAAGGTTATTGTTTTCTTTTTTATTAATTCTCCTATTCTATATTATACAGGCCAAAGCGTCGATGGAGAGACGAACTAGACGTGCACTTACGACTGGACCTCAGTGGCGTAAAACAGAGAGGTGTGGAGAAAGGGGAGGGAGGCCTTTGCCCAGCATTGGAACAGTATAGGCTTAAAAAGAAATATTACAGCCGATAAAAAATTTACAATTTCTTTAATTTTTTGTCAACGAATAGTGACCGTAAAACAAATTTAATGTTTCCTGAAGTAATGCAAAAGTAAATACAATGATCTATTGTAAAAAGTAGTAAAAAAACATTTCTATTATAGCACGAACTACTACTTGTTAATAATAATTTTCTATATTTTTACTCAAAGAACAACACATATTGACCGTAAAATTGTCGTTTCCTGTAGGTACAGTATCTGTTTTAATAATAACAATGTACATACACTTCTAACTTTCAACCTTAAGATTTATTGTTACGGTTCAGATTTGTGTATCACTATTATAATGTTATCCTCTATGGAAATATTCATTGACCCTGACGTAATGCCTTGACGATAATTTGTAAAACGTATTTCAAATCTAAGTAAAAGGTACATACAATAGAACCGTTAGTTAGAACCTCTTATCTAAATTTAGTTTGTCATTACCAGTATCATTGACGAAAGAATATATGTATAAGCATCTATAATGTATATATACTATCTACACAGGCTGTTAATTTAACAGCTTTGCTCCCAAAGGTGGTTACAAAAGTATAAACCCTGAACTCATAAATGTTCATACTACTCGATCGAAATTGAACTGTTGATTTTTTTCGCGATTCACAGTAACACTTCCTTATGGCCGGTAATGCTATTATGTGAACACCTTGTATAGAGGTGCCCAAGTGTACATTTACGGCATCTTTTATTTTATAATATCAAGTGACGGAACGAACAAGTCGTGCGCCTGATGGTAAGCAACACGCCTGTCCATAACAGTTGCAGTGCCACTCAGAATTTTAAATCGCAAAGATCTGAGGGGTGCAGTCACTGCTCTCGTCACCCTGAGACATAAGTTGACAAGTCTCATGTGCCTGTATTTTCACCAGCACCCTTACCCTTCAAAACCGGAGCACAGTAATGCTGACATTACTGCTTGGCGGCAGAAATAGGTAAGGCAGTACTTCCCTGGACGAACTCTTTCACAAGGAACTCTACTGCTGCTGAACTAACGTAATTTGTAGCATTAAGTTTTGTCAGTACAGGTACATCCCTATGGCGGCTTGATGACTTTAATTTCTAAATTGCATATATTTGTGAATGTGTTGTAAAAAATACCTAATGCTAAAGGCAAAGGGAGATAACGTGATGAAACCTGCATGTGCAAAGAAGATTCAGAACCGTTGAAAAACCTGTAAGTCCCCACGCCGCATGGTACTAGGATATTAAAAATTCTCTTGTTAAGAGACCCGTGCCCAGTAGTGGGATGGGTTGGCTCGTATAATTTAACAGCATCCGTGGCCGAACGGTTACCATGCCGGACTGCCATGCAGAGGTCCTGGGTTCGATTCCCAGGCCGGGAGAAATATGTGTATGGCCTACTTTTATTTCTCTCGTGAGTTTGGGTGTAATTTGTGGTTGTCTGTGTGTGTGTCCATGGCATCCGCGACACTGGGTATTCCTATTGTGTTGGTGTGCGTTATTATATTATTATTATAATGGGTTGACGATGATGATGATATAAATTCAGGTAAAACTTACATGTTGAAGGTTAAAGAGACTAGATGTTATTGTGTTATTTAGAACATACAAATCTTAATTATTTTAAGTTTACATTTGCCTTTAAACATTTCCTATGATTTGAACACATCAGTATATCGCCTGTAAATAATATATAATACATTCAAAACTATCAAATTATAGGCGCGCCATGGACACTTGACTTGTGATTGTGCTATGTGTATAGACAATCACAAATTGCACCCAAACTCACAAGAGAATAATAAATGTAGTCCATACAAATATTTCTCTCGGCCCGGGAATCGAACCTGGGACCTGTGCGTGGCAGTTCGGCATGGTAAGCGTTCGGCCACGGAGGCAGTTAATTTTTAAGTTTAATTTTTCATAAAAAAAACGAACTCAAAAGTTTGTGGAATTACATCTCAAATCGGTTAACGGAAAGTGGGTGCAACCCAACACACCGGATTCAACCCATAATTTACCGCCGAGAGAGGTGAAATATTGTCTTGAAATTTAAATGGGACCGCTACTGCTGAGGTATTTAGCCTTTCCAACAAAAAAAAAAGAAAAAATTTACAAAACCGGTTAACAAATGCCGGATTAATCGCGTAATATACACAAAAAAAACATTCGAATTGAGTACCACCTCAGTTATTTAAAATCAGTTTAAAAAACCAGCTTCACTTTATTTAAAAACAACTTTGTGTTCCTCCAATTTGACGCCACTATTATTACTCCATGAAGTTGTCGCGAAAACCTCGGTAACCTGCATCAAGAGCATGCAACATACAGTTCACGTGTTTACATTAAGACTCGTTTATTGCACTTTGATAACACCTTGGTATAGTAAAACCATTTTAAAATGGCCTCGGACAGCTAGGTGACCCGTGTCAATAAACTCTACTAAAGTACTAATTTATAGTAACTCAACAGTACTCTGCAAGGTGCGTTCCTAGGTCATTTAGGGTATTTGGTTTACAAAATAATAAATAGGCTTTAAATGTTTGAGAAATCGACTTTAAGTATTGGTGCTTTATTTTACAGAATAACCGACACACTAGACACAATTACTAGGTTGTATTAAAATGATTAAAAAGTGTAACTATAAACAAACAAGGTCCCAATAAACTTCCTTGAAGTACTCCGTATTTTACGACACAAATAAAACGTCATTGCACCATAAACAACAGTTCATGCAATAACGATGATTGGACAAAAATAAAAAACCGCAACAATCAACCATATCATTGCCTACAGAAACATATTATTACAATTTAAAATCAAGAAAAATTTACTTACCGGGACCATAAAAACGCTTGCCTCTGGTAACATCGAAAATGATTGCATTGACTGCTAACAAAACCCTGCCATCTTCTTGTGTGCCGTCATATTTCTTCAATTGGGCTACGGTCAAATCTTTTCTTAACTTCGGTAATGGAGGAGGCGGCGGAGTTACTTCAACAGTCGTGAATTTCGATTTTATGATCTTATAAATGAGGTACACAATGAAAAACACTAGTATTAAGTTGATGGGACTCGTCAATTCTTCCCACAATGTGGGTGATGATTGTTTCTCTGACATGTTGACGTGTAGCCGCTACGAATACTTGATGGCGACTGATTATAATGTACTGCATCAGTGTTGAGGTCAACCAGTTGTCAAATCAGTGCTAGACGCGTATGTATTTTTGTTGCTATTTTGCAGTGTAATCATTGTACGTTCTGTTTTAGGCTTGATTTTGATCTTAATGTTGTAAATGATAAGTTTATTTTACAATTTTGTGGGAAGGACTGGGTAAATCCTTTACATTTCCATGACTTTATTAACCATTTTGTTTTACGGGCTGAAGCTTGGAGGATCCAGCAGTACCTCTTTGCTTGTGTTTCGTTCCAGCGCACACATCCTTAAATCTCTAAAATTTCTCATGTTTATTTCCTTCTCCTACTCAGAGAGACTGAATCTATATAAGTAATAGTCACTTACTGTTTTGAAGACAATAAGCTACTAATCTGACTACTAAGTCCTGAATATTATAAGTGCCCTTCGAAGACTGACACAATTTGCTCAAATACAGGACATTAAGTAAAAGAATATTAGACAAACGCATACTAATATACTACTAATTTTTATATTAAAATTATGTTGGTAATTAACGTAAAGCATTTGCATTAAAAATAATATTTGCTATTATGTCTTTATCAGGCGTTTAATATAAATTTGCGAAAAATTGCGTCTAACTTTTCATGGCTAAACAAAGCCAACAGCATGTTTGACTTCACACTTAATATTTTAATCCAACTCTAAGTTCTTTGCGATAAGAACACCTAAAATTCGTAGTATAAAGTCGAGTGTCCCGTTGACTGTACATTTTCAATTCTCAGCAAAAGGCCAACAAGATTTACAACTTCTTAATTTTTGCACGGCAAATTTAAACGCGTTTATAAATGGCGTAAAATTTAAAACTTTTCGAGTGAGATTTCGGCAGTTTGTAAAATATCTCTCTAAGTGTCAGTTTTGTACTTGGAAAAAATATGACTGACAATTTTTTATACAGGAATTACCTATAAACCAGTTTATTACTTGTCCTTAATTAATTTTTTAAATCCATAAGAATTGTAATACTAGTCATGCACATTAATGCACTAAATATTTATGTTCACCAGAGTACCCACATAGTGAATAAAGGGCGTGAATTAGCCCAATTATTCCAAACATGACACTTATCTAGTGCACGACAAAGTACCAAGTCGTTTCTGTACGCCTCGCGCACCCTGGGGTACAATCGGCGAGTACTTTTAATAGCAGTAGAGCTCCTTGTGAAATCCACAGTTCATCCAGGGAAGTAGTGCCACCTTACTTATTTCAGCCGCCAAGCAGTAATGTGAGCATTACTGCGTTCCGGCTTAGAAGGGTAAGGGTGCTGGTGACGTTATAGGCACATGGGACTTGACAACATATGTCTCAGGGTGACGGGCGCAGTGGCAGTTCGCATCTTTGCGATTTAAAGCTCTGAATGGCACTGCTACTGTTATGGATAGGCGTGTCGCTTGCCACCAGGCGCATGACATGTTCGTCCCGCCAGCCGCCACTGGGTATTATATATAAAAAACCTTACGCCGATCGGCAAATCTTGTTGGTAAGCTTATTTATTTATTTATTTTGCCATTTATTTCATGTCATATGACCCGTATAATATATATTTTAAGGTCATACAGTCATTTTTAATATAACATACGTATATATAATATAATATAACAATATAATAAACTAAATAACTAATCTACACGAATTGCACTTGTCGGTGACGCGTAAAGCAATCTGGTGTCAGATAACCGGCCGCGGAATCGCCGATACATGACACCACAGACCACATTTCTTCCGTGCATGACACCCTTTGGCCAAAACCCTTTCTTCATGAAGGTCGACAGATGTTCGGTTGGCATTCTCACCATAAACGAATTAAAATTCACGTATTATATCACGAACTAATGATTCTAGTGTATAGCATCGATACGATAAGAAGAAGACTTATCTAGCCTTTTCTTTATGTATTTGGTAGAAGTGTTGCATAACACTCCTTCTGTATCAACGCCATAAAACTCCCAAAATATGAAACGATATTGTTATACATGAATATGCAATATTAAATTTAATGGCATTGTTTTCTACAAGGCTATAAAAATTTTAATGTTGCCTTTAGTTACAATTTAATGACCATTTCCACAAAGCAGGATTAGAATCACGTACAGCAGAGGTAGGCAACCCGCGACCATAAAGGTTCAGTCTTATGAATTTTATGAATGTTATTAATAACTGTCGTGGCACCGCTCTCTTTTACCTGTAACTGCAATAAATACATCCAACCGCATCGCACTCTAAAATGATGTATAAATATTAGGCAACATCGCATACGTTGCTCTGATACCAAAGTAAGTAGCTAAAGCACTTGTGTTGTGGAGACCGGAAACAACGACGGTACTACAAACACTCAGACCCGAGACAATATAGAAAAGTTAGTTTTCTACACTGACCCGACCGGGGATCGAACCCGGGACCTCAGAGATGACGACACCATGAAAACCGGTGTGCAAGCCATTCGACCACGGAAGCCGTGAAAACTCTGTCTAATGTAAGATACTTTGAAAAACTCCTTTCATGAAATCAATGATCTCATAAAAAATTATGGCACTTTGCCATCTGATTTTAATGAATTGGTAGATGCTGCTAAACAAATAATAGAAATTTTGACTATAGTTTCTTATTTAATGACTTACTGAATAAATAAAAAATTGTTCTCGTCTCACTGGTACGTAAATATTAATATATTTATTATTTGGTAAATATTAATTTGCAAACAACTTAGAATTAAGTATGACACTCAAATAGAATATTTAGAATTTCAAGAATTACCAGTCAAATGTTCTTTTTATTGGTTAAGTTGTTTCGATCTGTGATTTTTCAAATAAATATTGTAAATGATAAATGTCTGTTAACGTTTATTTACAAAGAACAATCTAGAGTTTCTTTCTTACTTATTGTTGTTAAGAAAATCTGCCTTACATATGAGTAGTAGGTTTAAATTAATGTGACGATTTCAAATGTACTTTGCTATTTATGAAATAAAGATTGTTTGACTTTGAAATTCAGCCTCTAAACTCACATTAAATTTTGATTCGTTCGGTAATTAGCTTTCAAATACGAATAAAAAATTACTAAAATAAATTAATTGCTGCTATCAAGTAACAAAACGCCAGATACTGGCGACAATCGCCATGATTTTTAAATTGTTTTTCAAAACAGACATGAAAGAAATGAAAAGGCACGGCTAATGAGCAAAAAGAAGAAGAAGAAGAAGAACAAGCATACAAGTTTCAGGAATTATTTGAGTGTTTCTACTTATAAAGACGTGTTTTTCTTCCAAAAGGTTGCCGATCGCTGATGTACAGATTGTTCATTGCTTCAATCGTGACGGAATATGTTCTTCATGACACTTGCATGTAAGTCTCCGACCCGTATTGGGAAAGCCTTCGGGAGAGAGTTATCTCTTTTTACAGGAAACTCCAAATATTAATAGTTTGTGTAATTATTATGTAATTTTCTATATTATTGTTTATAATTTGTGTATCTCAAATAAAACCGAGTTTATTTTTTAATTGATTGTGTAATTTAATATTTTCTACTATTTTAAATTTTAGGATAGTTTTGATGACATAATTTAAAATAACTTCTATAGGTGGCTCGGGTTTCGCCCTACAGGGTCCTTATAACACTATGGGTTCTCATATAAGTTTTATATGGCAATAAGTAATTCTAAGATATAATTAACTTTACTCAAGAGACGATATTATGGTACCGAAGCAGTTAATTATTAACCGCGGTAATTTTATCACAGTAATAAAGCAGAAACGCTAGAGCATATACCACTTTTATAGTCTATTAAGTATTTCTTAGTGCAAATTTTAAGAGCTCTGAGAGTGTGTGTTTATATTTGACCTACAAATTATTGTCAAAACATAGGTGGTAACCATAAGTCGTGAAAAGCTTTATTGAAATTGAAATTTTCCATGGAACCTGTAGACATCTGAAAAACAATTTCATGATGTGAGTGAAGTTCCGACTCCGCATTGAGCCCTCGTGGAATCTATAGCCCAAGCCCCCCCGCACTGTGAAAGGGCGCTATTAGATTTTAGAAAACTGTTCGAAGGGTAATATTTAACTTATTACTTAAATTGTGTTCTCCTGTTACACAGGTATCGTATCACTGGTAAGTATCAACTTGAGGCTCTTGATTCGATTGAATGCAAAGCCAGGAGATTTATTGGCGACGATAAGCTCAAATCTTCATAGTTTAGCCCACCGGTCCAAGGTTGCCTGTCTGTCGGTTTTCTACAGAATATATTTCGGTGAGTGTGCCCATGAGCTCCATCAGCTCATCCCGCCGGCCCCCTTTTACCATAACATCCAGATGTACGGCGGGATATCATCCTTACTTGGTCGATATTCCCTTCAGACATTCTAAGCGCTTTTTATCACCTTTTATTATGCGCACGGCCCAGTAATGGAACTCCCTGACTGTGACTCTGTTTTCGAGCTCTTACAATCCCAGTAAATTTAAGCTAGGCGAGCTCATTCCATCGTTGATCCTATCTTTGCTCCAGATCTAGTCAGGGGTCAAGAGCAAGTCCATTTAATTTAAAAAAATAATCTGATCTTCTTCTTCATTAAATATTTGCTAGTCTTAAATAATAGTGAGCCGTGGCAGTCTAATGGTTTGACCTACTGTCTCTCAAGCAGAGGCTTCGAATCTGGAGTTGCACCTCGGAGTTTTTTGGAGTTAATGTGCGAAACTTAATTTGAAATGTAACACGAGCTTTTCGGTGCTGGAAAACATCGTAATGAAACTTGCACGTGGAAGAGGCTTGGAAAACGCGACGTCCCAAACCTGCATTGGGCCAGCGTGGCTGACTATGGCCTGAAACCCTCACCTGAGAGGAGACCCGTGCCCAATCATGGGACGTATGATGATTATGATGATGACGTCGTGAAAAGAGGTCGAAGGGTAATCTTAGTACGGGAAAGAAAGGCGTTTAGAGCACCGGCAAGAGTAAATATATT